CCATCATCCTAGCCATCAATTTGTAGCCTTTAAATAAATCATAACATACCCCAACATTTCTCCAAAATTTCACATGTACTTCCATCCAGAGATTACAGATCAAACCTGAATGTCCCAGAGAAGGGATTCACCAAGGTTTTCTTCTTGGGGCTCATCCACACGTTCCCCCTCGCTGGGCCTCAGAGGGGCCTCACTCACTTTTTTTTAAGGAAGTGCCACTATTGCGCATTCTTGACCTCATTCCCAGATCATAGCTGAGGCCACCTAAGCATATTTAACTGACCTGGTTAAAGTGGTATTTCCCATCTTTTTCTAACACAAGCCTTGCTGTACGCACAATTTGTCAAGTTTTGGCGTGGTGATGACTGTGAGAGGAAAATTATTAGTAGCCTTCTATAGTTTTAATGTTAGTTTTGATTGCATTTAATAAAGCCAAGTTAGCTCAGATATGGCCTTTAGGGCAATGACAGGAAATAAGTAAACGTGCAAGACTAAGCAAACTTGATGATGGGAAAAGACGTGACAAGGGAAGTCTGGTAAAGTCTGGTAAAATTAGCACCAAGGAAGTTATGATTCAGTTGCAAATCCTGGGAGTCATGTCTGTGGTTTGTGGTTTTTGAGGATAAAAAGGATTGCAAAGAGGGGGTCGGGGCCACTTGGCCAAGCTGTCTTACCTGACCGCTTGCTCGTGATGGTCGGCATTGCAATATGAATCTAAGTAAGTACCTTGTGTGCTATTGGTTGAACTTTACTTGCCTATTGAACTAACTTTTAATAAAGCTTTTAGAACTTTGAAGTGACTTATGTTATGGTGTGTCTATCTCCCATGTTTGATGAGGTTTTTTCCCTGACAGTTTTGGTGCATTGGCCGGGAATCGAACCCAGGTCAACTGCTTGGAAGGCAGCTATGCTCACCACTATACCACCAACAGAGATTGGGGTCTGCCCAGCTCCTGTTAGCTGCTGTGGGCACACCCCTTCCTCTCCAGTCCCTGGTGATTTCCCTCCATGGCCATTTGGGCTTAGCAGGAGCACCAGACACTGGATACAAAATGCTGCCAAGACATTTCATGGGGCCCTCATTTACCCAGGTAGATCAAGGCCCTGATCAAGCAGCTTGCAGAGTGAAGTAGGAGAATTTGCCCACCAGGGCCTCTCAACTTCCCTAACAAAGAGCAAGAGATCAAAAAAGAGTGATAGGGTGAACAAGAGAGAAAGTGGGGGGAAAAAACACAAGAGAAAGAGGAGTGAGTGTGTGAGTCGATGAGCGAGAGGGAGCAGTGGTGAGAACCTGGGAGAGACAGAAGAGTGGGGCTAGAAATCATGTGAAAGAAGGCAATGGAGTGAGGTAATCGAGCCAGTGGGGTGATGGAGCAAGGAATGGGGTGAGTGATTTTTTATTTATTTATTTTTTTTGGTTGCCTGATGGACTGGAAGAAAGCATATTAAATCAAGGGTCTGGATGAGGTATGAGCATTTCAAGGATGAAAGATAGGCTCAAAAGCCCAGCAGGGCAGGTCTGATTCCTACTTGAATCGGAGATGATCAGGGAATTCTAGAACTACAGCTTTGACTGGACAGTTGAACAAAACTTCAAGATGGCAATGGCAAATTTTCCATACTATTTGTTAGTTGTTTTCATAAATGTACATCCCAGTGCTCCCCCCTCCCATTTTTCTCCACAACCCTGTGAGGTATGTTGGGCTAAGAAAGGGAGTGATTGGTCCAAAGTCACCCAGGGGAGTCCGTGGATATGGATGGTCCTGAGCCTCAGTCTTCCCAGGGCCAATCCAGCCCCTTAGCCAAGAAAATGTTGTGGATGTGTCTGTAAAATCACCAGGAGTTTTTATAGTTACTGTGCTCCTCTGCAAAATTTGTTGGGAGTTTTATGACAGGGATTATCACATCTCAATTTATTACATAATTTAAAACTGTTCTAATCTGTAAAGCACATGTAGCAGCCAGTGCCTTACATGTGTTTTGGATTACAACTCCCATGAGCCTCAGCCAGAATTGCCAACAGATTTTCTTTAAGGAATTGCACATTATTGAAATTCTTGTCCATCATTTCTGCAGGGAGCAGACTGCCTCTCCTTAAGACTTATATCCAGTAGGATTCCTTCTACTAGCAGAAGAAACATTGCTGACAAATTGGGAATCCTCTGGAGTGCAAACAAACTATGAGTACTTGCATATATTGCACTTCACCGCTTAAGTCTGGGTCACTGCTCCCTTAGTGGGAAATTACTTTTAATTGCAATGCAATTTTTTTTTCAATTCCCCCTGACATTTTAACCTGTTGCTTGCTACCCTTAAAAGTGGCCTTAAAATATTTTAAATTAAAAATCAAGTGAGGTATGATAACCATAATTTGGATAGTTCCTACATGTGCTCAGAATATAAGCCTGACTCCTTTTGCAGAAATATTTCTAGGAGAAACTGAGGGTTGACTGATTTTCCAGAGAGAAAAGCACCAGGAATATCTTGCCACTTTCCAGGGAGGATGGAAAGATTTCATTTGGCTCAGTTATAAAGTGTACCCAGTTCTGACTGACTGTTTTGCTAGTTCACAATCATATATCTGTTACTATTAGATATTAACCATGAAGTAAGTTTTGTTTAGTTATCCAAATCAAAGCTTTCAAAAGCATTCATCTACACTGTGATCAGCATGGTTTATAGATTTTAAGCAGCATGGCACATGTTTTACTGTTGGGATAGGAATCTTATTCAGATTTGATCAGAATTAAGCCCTGCTGATTTAAATGGTATTTATTTTCGGGTAAGTAAGCTGCCCCCATTTCTCAGTTGTACAGCAGAGAAAAATGCATGGGACACTACCCGCAGGAAGATAAGGCAGGCAATATTGCAAAAATGATTGGACCCTTTTTTCCCTTTTTACATGAATGAAAACAGCAGATGGGCAATGAACACAACTCAACCCTGCCTACTGCATGTAGGGCTGCTGTTTGGAAATGTGCACATTAGGAGGGCCCTCGCTTAGCGGTCAGCATGCGCACTTCATGTGGAAAAACTGAGGTTCAGTATCTACTGTCTCCAGTTAAGGGTGTGGGTGAGGTTCTGGAGAGTTTTACTTGGTAAAGGCAACTTTACAATCTTTGTAACTTGCCTATTCCAAAAAATCTTGTACTGTGAAACAAACGTAAAATGTGAAGAGCTAGATAGACCAAAGACCAATCTAGTTCAGCCTTCTATTTTCACAACAGCCACTCAGATGGTAATAGGAAATCCACAGGCAGATTATGGACCCGTAGTTATTTCACTGAACCTACATATAGTATGTACCCGTAATTTGTATTTCAGACAAATCTGTGATGGGCTTTCTGCTAACAATATCATCCTTATACTGGACAGAAACTGTATGGGGTTTGTTCAGAAAACGAGGGCTTGTCTTCAACAGTGCTAAGCAAAGTCGATGCGAAACTCAACTTTCCTGAACCATTTGAGAAGAATTAACCTGGGCGAGGGGATTGTCTTTTCCTCTGGAGTGGGGAAGAATGTCCTTTCCTTAAGGAGGAAAAATCGACTGAGTTTCTTAATGCATGTGTTGGTCCCATCCAAAAGGGACTGCACAGGCAACAAGTGACTGTATTAAAATGGCAGGAAACCAAGACCACAGCTCTTGCTGGCGTCCTGGCTTGTAACTCTCCAGGTTGGCAGCAAGGGGCAAATAAGAAGTTAGACACGGGAATAAAACGCGAGGGGAGGGGAGAAAAGAGCTGCTATGATGAGATCAGAAGAAAGAAAACTTTAAAAGGAGGGGAGGGAGAGGGGGGACAACAGCTCCGCGGAGAAGGGAAAGAGCGTCGTATAAAAGCATGAGACACACGCAAGGAGAAAGCCACCCTGGACGGAGAAGGACAGCCCGCCGTTCGCCAACCCACGCCGGGCAGCAAGCTGGCACCAGCACCGCTCGCTCTCTTCGCCATCCCAGCACCAGCGGGCGAGGGAACTGGCCGGGCTCGAGCTCCCCCAAGCTCCCCCCCAAAGACTTCGACCGGCCCTTCAGACTGGTCTTCCCTCTCAGCGGCGGATCATCCCCGGGGACGAAGAGGCTGAGAGTAGCTGCGGCCGCTGCCTGGGAAATAGCGTCGGACCGGCCGCGGCCGTAGGAGCAGCAGGGAACGGAGGACCGGGAGACCCGAGGGGGTGAAAGCAGGTCAGGAGGAAGAAGGAGGAGGCTCCGGACTCGCCCTCGAGCGGAGCGGAGGCAAGGCGGGAAAGTCTTGCGTGGGGCTCCAAGCTGACACGGGCCAAGCCCGCACTGACAGCCAGCCGCTCCCCGGGCTAATGGGCTGAGGAGGAAAGCGGCCCGCGACTGGAAGTGCCCCCTGGAGCGTGCGAGCGAGGGGCCTGGGGCAGCGCAGCCGAGGGGCTTCCGAAGGCTCCTCGGGGCCTCTGTGAAGGACCCGAGTGCGGGTCTTGCTCGCCTGAGGGAGCGCGGGACGAATTCGTCCAGGAGGCGAGGCGGAGAGGGAGAGGCCAGCGGGAAAGAGCAGAAATAGTCCTTCTGGCGCGGACGGCGGGCGCCAGGCGACAGAATTCGCGGGAGCGGGACCGACTCCTCCAAGCGG